AAAGTCCAATTCCCCCTTCCTTTAGCTGTTCAGAAACGCCTAGAACAGAACCAAGATTCTTTATACGCTTTCTCTAGTAATGTAACTTTGTTTTCTTCTTTAACAGAACGATTACAGATAATGCAAGGAAAAATCAGATGCTTCTATTGGTTGTGTTTCTCATGGGTCCTTACACATTTGTATACGATTCTTTGTGGCCCATATACTGCTTTGGAAAATTAAAAAAGATTAGGTTTCGAGGCTGCTGATGTACACTTGGATGGCCTGTATAACTTTATAGTGAGAGATTCCCTTTGCAGACATGAAGTTTTGGGAAGTCATTACTAATAAAATTAGGCTTCTTGAGAGGACAGACTGCTCTCTGCCACTGGTCTCCCCCTATAAGACCCAGGCCCCTGTCACCAGCAGAGGATACGGACACTTGCTAGTGATACTGGATGGCATTAGCTTTTGGTCCAAGGCAAGCCTTTTGTCCCATCCCCAGATCCCCCAAGTGACTACCTGGAGGTGACCACTGACTGTGGAGGTAACAGTCCTCTAGCTGGAGGGATGAACAGTACCACATTTATGCCCTCTGACTGCCGGCAGCTTCCCTCTCTACTTCTCCATGCCTCTGAAATCTGTCTTTCTGCAGTTGCTAACAGGCATCTCTCTCCCTAATTACTGTTCCTTGATTTATTTCTTTTCTTTATGTAGACCAGTAGTTCTCAGCTAGGGATGATTTTGACCCTCTCCTCCCATTGGGATATTTGGCAATGTCTGGAGACTTTTGGCGTAGTGGTTAAGAGCTCAGGCTGCTAACCAAAAGGTTGGCAGTTCGAACCCACCAGCCACTCCTTGGAAAACCTATGGGGTAGTTCTACTCTGTTCTATAGAGTCGATTCAATGGCAGTGGGTTAACTGGAGGCCTTTTTGGTTGTCATGACTCAGTGTGTGTGTGTGTGTGTGTGTGTGTGTGTAGGTACTACAGGCATTTCGTGGGTAGAGGCCAGGGATGCTGCTAAATAGCCCACATTGCGCCGGACGGCTCCCACAACAGAGGATTATCTGGCCCAGGGTTGTAAAGCACATGTAGACATGTAGACAAAGCACATGTATCTTCCCTGCTGTTTATTCGTTACCTTGCAATTGGTGATAGTGCTCTGACATTTAAATGCCTAAAGGTTGACCCTCAGTGGTGTTCCTGGATTACCCAGTGGCATCAGGAATACTGTGGGAGAGGCCAAGGTTAATGTCTGAGCACCACAGGCCACAACCAAGGGACTCTATTTATTCTCCAAACAGCAGTAGATTGCACCCCGTTAATAACAATAATGCTTATATGTAATGTTCAAAGCACATTCACTTCCATTCTCTTCTGTGACCCTCCCCACAACCATGACGTAGGTAGCGTGTTACTGTGCCTGTAAGCAGTAGCTGATTCTCAGCGCTTTGTCGCCCCGGACTCAAACCTGGGTTTTCTAACTCCAGCTTGTGCCCTTTCTGCCTTTCAGGCTCCCTGTAGTTATGAGACAAATTTTATGGAGAAATTCTGGAAGTGAGTCTGTGCCTGAAGCTCTTTCTCTTTCCATATTTCATAATTGGAATTGTTGCTGTTGGGCCGATTCCAACTCATAGTGACCTTACAGGACAGAGTAGAACTGCCCCATAGTGTTTCCAAGGCTGTAAATCTTTACAGATGCAGACTGCTGCATCTTTTTCCCCTGGAGCGGCTGGTGGGTTCGAACCACCAACTTTTCGCCAAGTGCTCAACTACTGTGCCACCCGGGCTTCTTTCATATTTTATTACTTTCCCTTGTCCCGCCAAAATAGGCTCTTGGCAAAGACTCTCTTTCTTCAGTGAATTTCAGTTGCTACGTGATCTAGAACTTTTATCTCTTAAGCTTTCTCTCTCCAAAAAAAAAAAAAAAAAAGAATAAATTTGTCCTCTCTCAAGGGGGTTTCCAGCTTACTGGCCAGAACGATGGCTGAAGTAGTCGTCCTTAAAGCTTTTGTGGAGCAAGATAATTGAGGAAGAGATGGAATTCATATTGACTATGCTCACACTTTCTCACCTTAAGAGGGTCAGTTTCTCCTTGGCTAAGGAACAAGGGCTCTTCTAATGCTGAACCCCTCCTCCATTTTGCCTTCCTCCTTCCCCAGGCCCAGTCAACCTGACCTTGACCCCCAGGGCAGCTTAAAGTGCTAAAGGGTCTCTCTGTCTACTGTTAAGTGCAACCTGCTTTCCAGAAAGGGTAGGGAGGGAGAGAGTTAAGCCTCCCTTGCCTGGTCCAGTGAATGTGGATGATTGCTATAGTTCACTGGGTCCGCACTGTGAGCAGGCACTTTGCTAACAGTTTTACATACATTAGCATAACCCAATGGACTAAAACCAGTTGTCACCGAGTTGATTTTGAATAGAGTAGGTATGAGCAAAAGGAGCCCTGGTGGCACGATGGTTAAGTGCTTGGCTGATAACTGAAGGGTTGGCGGTTTGAGCCCACCCAGCAGCTCCACAGGA